CCTTCTTTATTTACCACTTCACCTTGTCCATACCATTTGAAGTTTTCATCTGCGGAGATCAATAAAGAATCTTCGCCTAGCGTTCTATGCAAATGGCTATGGAATAAAGTACTGCAAGTCAGGTGCAACAGGGCATTCTTCTGAAAATTGTGAGGATGTAAGGTCTCCCTAATTACCTCCGTTTCAGATAGACTCTGCGTAGCTCTTCTATGTGTATTCACCACGAGCCAATCTGGTCAATGGTGCTGACTTGATCATCCTTGCAAGGGACAATATCAAACACCATCTAGTTTGCATCAGAGGTGTGACCTTGTATGCGAAGCGGTTGACTTTGTCACTTGTCCGTATGGAACAGAGGCAACTTCGCATAGAGGGAACAGTATACCGAATTCAATGTTTATCACACGACAAAATATGTATTAGTGAGGCTAGGAAGATTTGAGGCATATGCTCTAAACAACATCCAGTAAAAGACGTGAAAGCCTTCTCATACCACTTTGAGAGCAATAGCAAAAGAGCGGATCTGAAGTTAAAATGCAAGTTGCTCGCCTATGGAGACGGCATTTTTGCTAGAAAAACATTCGAAGCATTGTGTAGCCTACTGCGAAGCAAAACGGTTCAGCCAAAAGGAGACCGCCAAGAGTTAACTGCCGTTCATTCTTAGTGTAGACTATGAAACCGTTGGATATCATGTATCATATGTTTGGTTATCATACTTTGTGCTTGCTGTCAAAAAAAAAACATTTGTTCTTCTTTGTTGTCGTTATCGTTGTTGTCGACGTTAATGTTGTCGACATTGTTGTTGTCTCGCCGAGTAAGAAAGTCAACCTCGTTGCAACGTTAACCCTTAGATCAATTGCTTGGCTAAGCTCGTCCAGGTTAGAGGTCTGGAACTGGTTGCAACTGGTTAAGTGTCCTTGGTTGCCTGACAGTGAGAACGGGAGTTCCTAGCCCCGTTCAGGTTCATGGAAGTAACTATTTGTCCGGACAGTCAACTTAGCGAAACGGTTCCTCTGTAACATAACTTAACAGCGCAGCACAGTAAAATAGCGTTTTACTTTTTCACCACATCGGATGTGGGTTAAATTATATTTGCGGCTATGTGCGTGGTATATGGATACAAAACCATTTTTTGAAATTGACCTTCCATTGTGATGAAAAGCGCGATGACAAATCATGATTGTTTGATGCGGAAATATTTGTAAACCTGAATGCTGCTAGCAGAATATTTGTGATGGAGATTGATTTACGATTTTGTGTCACAGTTTTTTTTTTCAGGTTTTTACTGCTCTGCTTGAAGAACAACTTGAATATCATCGTGTGGCGATGCGTACGCTTGAGATGGTTTTGCCTGAGATTCGTCGTGATATTGGTAATTTCGCTTGATGATGGGTTAACATAGAGTCTCTGTTACGTGTTTGCTCATTCCAGACTTCCAAACCCTATAGCGGGTTTCTCTCTTTAAGATAACGCTCGTCCCCGCCCAATGTTTGGTGTTGATTTGAGTGAGCATCTTCGCCATACCCAGGGTCGTGTTGCGGTTGTTTTGGAAAAATGTTGTACGATGCTAAGAGCAAATGGATTCAACGAGAAAGGTATTGCTTTATTTAATACTCTCCTTTCTTTGAGTTCTTTCAAATAATTGATTCGTGTTAGTACCAATGTTATCTTTATTTCCTTCACTTTTCGTTACCTGCGTTAATGCACCATGATTTTCTTATTTGTTCTACTCAAAAATCCATGACACTGTTTTGTAATATACTTGTGCTTGAACCGAAAGTACCGATTCTTTGTGACTATTTATTTTTAGGATTATTTCGAGTCAACGGAAACAATACGAAAATACGACGGATGAAATCTGCATTCGACGCAGGCCAAATAGATGTAAACAAAGCTGTTTTTTTTTTGAATTCATAATGATGCATTGCCATTCAGAGCGACGAGCGTGCGTACTTTCTCGATCCACATGCAGTCTGTAGCGTGCTTAAAAGTTATCTAAGAGAGTTGCCTGATCCCCTTCTCACTCATAAGCTCCATAGCGACTGGGTCAACGCTTTAAGGTAAGCTACTACGTGGACATAAAATCTGGCGGTGAAGAGCGTATTATCAATCAATTCCCTTCTCTTTGAGCTCATCTAGTTCTTTAGGTTAAAGGATGAAGCGAAACTGTTGGCGTTTGAACGATGTATAGGCGAACTTCCAGCATGTCATAGACACAATCTCACCTATCTTATCAATTTCCTCTCGGAAATGTTGCAGTATCAGGAGCAAACAGCGTGCGTAGTGAAGCGTTTTTGTGCATAGATGCACCATCATATCCAAAACTTCTCTTTTTTATAGCATGAATTGTGGCAATCTTGCGATAGTGTTCGGTCCTAATTTGCTTGGTGGAGATATTGAAGAAAGTAATGCTGTAGGTACCAAGGTAATCTCCAATACGTATGGTTTCGATTTAGATTTAACTGCATCGCTATTGTCGTAATATTTGTAGATGCAGAAGATGTGTATTAGTGCTTCTGTATGTATGTATGTATGTATGTATGTATGTATGTATGTATGTATGTATGTATGTATGTATGTATGTATGTATGT